AAAAAAGTGAGTGTGAAAAAAAAGAAAAAAAATTGAAAAAAAAAAGAGTGATTAAATGTTTGAAAGAATCTACAAAGCTATGAAGACAAAGAATAAATACATGAAGAAAGCTGCAAATCATTGAAGATTCAAGGCAAAAAGTTATCAAGTTATCAAGTCTTTTATTTTTATTTGTAATTTTCTTTTCTAGGTTATTTTATCGTATGTGTGCTTGGGGATTTAACCAAAAATGACTTGAGGTTAAGAAAGTTTTATGGGGATGGATTCGGAGGGATGCATAAAATGAGCGTTGTTCAAAAGAAGTGGGCGGGTGTTTATGAGGATTGTAAGTATTTAGAATTGAGGGGGTCCTTAGGAAAAAATTAGACACAAATGCATGCGTTGCAGTCTTGGCATAATGGTTGGGTTCAATTGGGATTGTCTTATGTGGTACTAGTGTGTTAAAATTCAGTTTTTCTTGGGGGCAAGCAAAAGTCAAGTGAGGGTATTTTGATATGGGCATATTTAGTCATATAATTTATATATTATCTTAATACTTTATGTTGATTTTATGTCATTTAATGAACAAAAGGTGCTTAATTAGTTTATAATTTCATTTTTCAGCAACAATGACATGCTCAGATGGAAAAGGAAACGGATTTAGCACTTGGAAGCTTGGATCTTGGATTTTGAAGAAAGAAGGATGTTGCTGGACAGCTTGACCCCTCGTCAGTGTTTTGGCCATATCTCATTAACCGTAACTCCGATTGATGAGATTCAAAATGTTCTGAAAACTACACACAATTTCGGACGACTTTCATGTTTTGCGAAAATGCTGATTCCATACTAAATCGACGAGTTGTCCATCAACTCGACGAGTTGATCAGAAAGTTCGCGATTCTTGATGCTGACTTTCCGTACACGCGATTTTAATGACCAACACGACGAGTTGGGTCAAAAAACTCGTTGAGTTGGATCTGTTTTCAGAATTTATATATAGAAACACTTTCATTCAAAACCTTAATTAATTTTGGAAGCTTTGGACGATTTTTGGAGGCCAGAAGGGTTCTTAGAACTGTGGTTTTCGAGAATTCAACTAGAAGTCAATTTTGAAGAGATCAAAGGCAAACAAACATTACTTTTATCTTAATCTTTTGTGTGAACCATGTTTGAATCATTAGATTTTGATTCTAAAATGTCATTTGTTGTAGATATGAGCTAAAAACTCTTTACTTCTGTTTAGACTAGATAAACTTATGAATATGGTTTGATTGAATGGCTTGGATTAATTTGATTTGGTGAATTGTCTTGTTAAGCTTGTTAAAGACCCTTATGTGATGACAATAATTATTTCCTGTTAATAACCAAGTTTATTAAGTTGCATGAACATCTTCTTAATTGCTTGTATCATATGGTTTTTGTGAAAACAATATTGTATGCCTAGTATTAGTGAATATGAACCTAGGATTAATAAGAAAATAAGCAAGTTAATGTGTAAGCATGTGTGATGAACAACCATACATGAGTTGATTGAATTGATAAATTTAGTTAACTAATATTACAACTCTCACTTGATCCGAACTAAACACTAGGAAACTTATTAGTTTAATCAACTGATCACTGTTTGAATTAACTTGTTTGCTAAGGATTAGTAATAGTGAACATGAACCTAATCACATTAGAAATCGGTAGCCAATGACATATTAATCCATTGCACTTGCTACGAAATCAACCATAGGAATAAGTGAATCGAATCTAAATGGAAGTCTCTTTAAATTGATTGAATCTAGTTGTCTTTCGTTTCTCCTTAGTTGTTAATTGTCCTTTGTTTAAGTGTTTCAGTATTTGCTTAAATTTCTAGTCTTGTAAAACTAGAGAAAAACCCTTCTTTTTACTTGTTTTATTTAGAGAATATTAGTAATAATCTTAATTGTTTACCGTTCCCTGTGTTCGATACCCTACTTACCTGAACTAAGCTGCTAATCGATAGGTACACTGCCTTCCGTGTGTTTGTTTTTGTGTCTAAGTTACTAGGATTAAAACTAGTGCATTCCACATACATCAACAGTTTGGATGAAACCCTAATCTTTAGGGCTTGCACCCTATTTAAGCATCATATCTGGCCTCCACCCCAGCCTCCATCACCTCCAAACCCTAATCAACCTTGAGTGATATTGAGTTATTTATTTGCCATTGTTGTGATTTAAAGTTAAAAGAAGGAAGCAAAGGCTTGGAGTTGCAGAAGGAAGGTTGAAGATCCAGAGCTAAGGACTCATTTCTGACTTGATAGAGGTATAAAAGTGTTGGATTAGTGTCTAAGTCCATAACTATATTTGGTATGTACTTGACCTGGTTGTAGCATGGTCCTTTTTGGGTTGCCTTCATACTGGTGACTAGATAGGATGACTGTTGAAGAGAGAGGCTGATTTATTGTTAAGAATAATAAGTTGGGGTATAAATATCATTTGTTAGTATATTATATGAATAATATATTAATTTGGAATCATATTATTAATTAGTATTTAATCAGAAATTAATTAGGAATTAATTTTGGGATTAAAGGATATAATTAAAGTGCAGGGGCTGTTTTGTAATTATTTGATAGTTGAGACTTTGGTCCATTGGATCACCTTTATTAAGGCTTGGCCGAAAATCCTAGAAGGATCTAGGAGTTTTCGTCCAAGGGCTTAAGGAAAGGAGTCCATGGGTTTTTTTAGGCCCTAAGCTAAGGGATTTGGGTTTCCACCTTGAAACCCTAGTTTACTTCAACTATAAATAGCACCCTAAGGCACTCAAAATCGGCACCCCTTGGAGAAACCCTAGTAGAGCCGATTTTGTGAGCTAGTTACCCTTCATCCTCTCTCTCTCATGTTCATCCTTTCACTCAAGTGTGTTTGTGAGCCATTAGAGGTACTACACTTGTGGTACTTGCTTTCAAAGCTAAGGAGATTCAAGAAACAAGTTGTTATTACTACATAACAACAAAAAGGTATGTGTTCTATTCTTCTATGTGAATTTTGAAAATTGTAGGAGCATGTCAGGTTTCTTTTTGTGTTCATAAAGTTGTATGTCTAATAGTGAAAACATAGATCTAATTGAGGTTGCATGCACACATAGGATTGTTTGTGTAAAACCCACCATAAAGCTTATACCTTGGCTTCTATTCACTTAGATCTTCATTTGAGCTGGTATGTTGTCATTTTTGGGCCATCTCCAAGGTCATTCCGAGATTTGAACTCTTGGGGATGTAAGGACTTCAGATCTGGGCACTCTTGAGCTTTAGGAGCTCAAAGTTGCCACCTTTATTCCACCATAGCCCTATTCCATGACTTAGACCTCCATTTTAGCTTGTATTGGGTGTCCTAGCTTAATATCACCATGCATGCACGTAAAGTTAGCAACTTTACATGTAATGCTAGTCTAAGGAGTCCAGATCTATGAGTTGGAAGCATTGGAATTGATTAGAATCGACTGTATGGAATTGATATAAGGGGGACTTGACGAGTTGTTCTTATAACTCAACAAGTCGAGTCGCGAACCTCGAACCCCTTTTCTGGTTTTGAGTGAAACCATTAAGTTTAGGAGATGACTCAGTGAATTGGAAAAGGTTAGGACTCGGAAGCTGAAGAACTCGACGAGTCTAAGGAGGGACTCGACGAGTTAAGTCGGGTTGTCCTGATTTTATGGCAGACAGAACTCGATGAGTTTGTTAAAGGACTCGACGAGTTTGCTAAAGGACTCGTCGAGTTGACTCGGTTGACCACGAGTCTGAGTAGTACATAAACTCGCCGAGTTGGGAGATAACTCGACGAGCTGGGGTTGACTGGGATGTTGACATTGACTTTGACTTTCACCTGGATGTTGACTTTGACCAAGGGTAAAATGGTCATTTTACCCTGAGAAGGATTATCAGCTTTCTGATTAAGTGTATTATGTAGTTGATAGCTGGGGAGTCGCCGGATCAGTAGTCAGAGATTCTTCACTCGAGTTTCAGCAGTCAGCTTTACGATGTGTGTTTCCTTCAGTAGGAATGGGTCTACGGCACCAAGGTCGGTTCGCAGAATGATTATGTTAGTAGTTGAGTGTGGGCGAGGCCAGTATCTCCTAGTTAGCTGAGTATGGGGGGGGACCGTATCTCACACCTTAGTTTGATTATGGATATATGCTTGATTGATAGATTTAGTTATACTTGTTATCTGTATGATACTTGTATGCATGTTTAGCAGCTAAGTGTGGGCGGGGCCCGTATCTCATAATAGTCGAGTGTGGGCGGGGCCCGTATCTCGTAGTAGCCGAGTGTGGGTGGGGCCCGTATCTCAGAGTCAGCGGAGTGTCGGTGGGGCCCATATCTCCCAGCTAGCGGAGTGTGGACATGGACCGTATCTCCATGAGTGTGGGCGGGGCTCGTATCTCCTAGTTGCATTTTATATGTGTATGGTATGTGGTAGTTTGGGGAGACTCAGTAAGCTTCGTGCTTACAGTTTTCAGTTTTGGTTTCAGGTACTTCCACTAGCAAGGGGAAGGGCTCGAGATGATTGCATGGTACACACCACAGTTTAGCCTGGGATGTTCAGACTCTGATATTTTTACATGATTTTGATACAATATTCGAGATGATGTTTTTGGGATACACGATTTATGGTTTTTCTATATGATGATGGTTGAATTATGGTTTTATTAATGATTTTAAAAAGAAATTTTCAGTATGTATTTTGGGGATGTTTCAAATTAAGTTTATTAAAAATTTTAAATATAATATTTATGAAAATATTAAACAGGACAAAATTGTAAAAATGGTCCCTATGGACAAAATTACTCTCACACACTCTCTCTCTCTCTCTCTCTCTCTCGTACCTCTTCCTCATCAAACAAAAAGAAAATTCAATAGAAATATCCAATCTGTATCGCATACCACCTAGTTCTAGCCCTTCTTCTAGTACCCATCTTCATCTTCATCATATGGAAGAACAAGAAGAATGCAAACTCAAACGAGACAGTCTTTCACATCTGTTCATGAACTCTTAATGAAGACGATGAGTGATTAAACCAAGCCTCCTCATTGTGTAATCGAAGATTGCAAGTGGAGTTAATGGATTCATCTTCCATTGAAGAGAAGAAAGAACTAAAAGCTTCATTTTCATTATAGTCTTGGATTCGAATACATATTTTGATCCTTTAACCTAAATGAAAACAAGCCACAAAAGAAAGAGATGTGTTAATAACAAAATAATGACATTGGCATTTCCAGAAAATAGTTGGAGTGCATTCGTATAGATTAGATGTGAATGATACATGATACGTACTTGGAGGTCTAAGAGGAGAGGGATATGGATTTCTTCAACTTTAGAAGCTAAAGAAAGACAAGCGATCGCAACTAACTGATTCATCCACGACTTATCTTTTTGGAAAGAATCGCTCAAAAAGAATCTATCGAAGTAATTAACAGCCAAAATGATTGTCATAGCAACAAATCTGTAATGGGTACTAACCCTAATCGTCTAATCGACATATTCTTTCCTTAAACCTATTAAAACCCTATCACTGAACAAATTCCCTTCTTATGAAACAATATTTTTATCTTTAGACAAAAGGGAACCAAGTTTGTCTTCTTCCCACGACAGATCATGTTCAAAATGGGCAAAAATATGAGCTTTTTGTTTCATGATTTGAATTTCTTGTTCAAATAAACCAAACCCTAACCCAAACCCAAACTCACATCCAAAATCCAAATCGTTTTCTTTCTCATCACATAAAAGACCATCATCGAAAGAAAATGAAGGGTTTTCAGAACACACATTCTGGTTTTTCATCTTCTTGTGATAAGTAGATGTATGAAGCTCCGATTTATTATCTTAAAGAAAACAGATAGACGAATGTGAGGTTTTCTAACATGTCTTTGCGGTTTCTCTCTCTAGACTACACAACTTTTAATCTCAGCAATTCTAGAGAGAGAGAGAGAGGGATGTGGACCCTCTTATTTTTTTTATTTAATAAATAAGTATTAGATTTAAAAAATAAAAGAAAAATAAAAATAATTACCCCAAGGGTATTAAAGTTATTTGAGTTTATAGAGGGACCAAATCTGCAACGAAACTAGCTCAAAAGAACACCAAGCTCAAAAAGTCGAAGTTTAGACTAAACCTTAGAAAAATGCATACCACACGGACCATTTTTGCAGCTTTGTTAAAATTACCCTTTTTTAAAGATAATAATTTCGATTTGCTTGGTGATACGACGATATCTAAAGGTATCTTGGCCTGTTTACTTTCCACTGTTTATTAAATATATCTCGTTTGCCAGTTCCAACAAAAAAAAATCTAAAGGTATCCATGGGTACGAAGAAGATATTGATTTGGGCTAATTTGATGATGTAAATGGACAAGAAAAATCATATTGATTGGGCCCGATCCTTTATAATAGTGCCCCAAGGCCCAAATGTGTTTGCCTCCCGTTAATGATTAATCAATTCTCTTACCATCAATCCTCTCTCATCGTCTTGATTTGCCTTTGGATCTCATGTGCAGATTTCTACACGATAAACAATGTCAAAGAAATTGAACTGAAACGGAAACGATACGTTCTGGTGGGTTTTTGTTTTTGAAAACATAACATTATCATCCATTTAAAGCTGCAAAGTTTTCTTACTAGTCCCTTATCTTCTTTCTTATAATCACAAACTACCCCAAATTATTTTTTTCTTCATCATGTGTTTGTGAATCTTCCAATTTACCCCCTTGATTTTCATACTTTGTATTTATTTTAACCTTGTTTATTTCTCCTTCATTTTAGTTTCCATTTCACAACATTTAACCCCAACAAATTGATAAAATGTCAATTTCGACCTTTATAATACATTCTTATATCACAATGGTCCCAATCAAAGAATTTTTATTTTATCGTCTTAAGTATTAAAATCTCTAGTTACAAATTATGTTCTTGAGTTTTTTATGAAAGAGAATGGAAGGGGAAGGAAAGGAAAACATGGATAAAAGTCACCCGCCCATTTTTAGGAGGGGAAGGGTAATTTACACAAACTACCTTTTGCCCTTCATCAATAGAAAATGAAGAGAAAAATATAAAAGGTTTGATTTAGTGACGAAGTTTAGAATAAAAATCTGCGTGGTTCCAGTAAGACCGAAATAAATAATAGAGTATAAAAAAATGCTAGTAGCAGATTGAGCCGTAATATCACATAAGTAAAAAAAGTTTAAAAGTCCTTATAATTGTACCATATGAGGTCTAATATCATGAAATATGCTTACAACTATATTAGAAACCACTGATGATCGAGGCGGACCGACGGGAGGATGTTGAAGGCTGCTGACGGTCGGGATGATGGTAGTTGTCTGAATTATTGGCATTATCGATCAAATCGATCAGTCTTGTGCCCTTACGTTTGTTAATAAATCGTGATGGTGGAGGATGAACGAAACAAGGCCACAAGATCCCATTTGATAATATTATAAATAGATTGGGTATTTGGTCTACTAAAACATAAAATACCGGCTTTAAAAATCTTTATTTGTAATTTTTTTCAAACAAAATAAAATATATCACTCAAAATATTTAAAGTATATCCTAAAATTATTTTTATATAATTTTTTATAAAAAATTAAAATTTAGATAGGTTAAGTGACTTCATAGACTCCCCTCTATTTTCATTTCCTTCAATTTCTTTATAACTTAAAGAAGATATTTTACCTTGCATTCCCTTCCAACTTGATAAGACAACTAATTATTTGGATTTTCTTTTTTATTTCACTTCATTTCTTTTCCTGCCCTTCCCTTCTCATCCTTATTAAACTTAAAACAAATTATAAGTCTTCAATCAAGTATATAACAATTTTCAAAAATACCCTAGACATTAGCCTCATTTTAGAGTTTCCTTTAAATCACTTTTAAAAATATTTGAATGAACTTAAAGTAATATACACATCAAAGATTTCATCACCCACCTATGTAGGACTAAAAGCTAAAGCAAAACAACAACCATCTCTTAAACAAATTGATAAATATTATATAGCTCCAACATCCAACGCCAATAATAATTCAGAATCTCCAATCAAATCAAAATATGGGAAGGAAAATACGTAGATCACAAACACACCCATAAACCATATTACGATATAAAAATAGAGAATAAGATTGAATTTATAACTCGTTGTTTAGATATTCTTTAAAAACTGAATTGGTGTGTCAACCCATAATAGAAAACAAAGTTAAACAATCATAACACAACCAAGACTCAACCATAATCTAATGAGTCGATTGCCTTTTCCATAGCGATGCAGATAAAAAGCGATGAATGAAGCAGCAAGAAGAACAACTCAGGAGTGTTCTATTGAGGGAGAACGACGCTGCTGCAGCCTGCAAGTGATGAGTCAATGGATAGAAATTGGGTTTGATTTCGTTAAAATTGGACAGAAATTCGACAAGTGATATTAGAACCATTGTTTCTGATCATCGACAATATCACTGCAAGGAATTTATTTGGTGATTGATTAGCAAACACATGTCGACCCACCATAATTATTCTATCATAGAACCGAACACACAACGGCTACATACAAACAGTGGCGAGTCTAGAACGTAAAACCACATGGTTCACTATTTAAATGAAACATTGATAAAAAATGAATAAATAAATAAATAAATACTAGTTGTGGGTCCAAATTCGGGCCGGGTCGTATAAGAAAAAATAATTATAATTTCTTACTATTGTATTCGATGAGATGTTGATATATTTTCCCAAAAGGAATCGTTTATACGCTAATGCCTAATGACAAAACACTATAAATAAATCAAGTTGGCAATACTACATGTTACTAACCTATGAACCTCTCATACGACATACCGTCATACGAAATTATAACAACAATGAAACAATAGTGAAAAAAAACTACACATAGTGACATGGTGAATCTTTTATCTTTAATCATTGAATTATAGGGTGCACAAAAATCGATGTTGAGAAGGGAAAATTGTCGGAGGTCGGAGCCACTGTCAGCTGTGACAATTGGGAGGTTGTTGGGGGTGGCAACATGTGCTGATGATTAGCGATTTGTTAAGGCGTGAAGCGGTAATCGGAATCTTGGAGAAGGAAACGGAGTCAGCTAATTGTCATACGATTTTTTTTATTTAAATTTAAAGTTATTTCTTTTTGGATTATATTTTAAATGAATTAGTTATTTGACCTATTAAAATATAAAATATGGGCTTTGAAAATCTTGATTTATACAAGTTCACTTATAATATCGAAGGTAGTTTATAATTTTTATTTATATAAAACTTATTATAATAATAATAATAATAATAAAATAGGTGGGTTAAGTGACTCACCTTTATTAAGGATAGGCTCGCCCCTCCACACAAACATTATATATAGTGTGGCCGAAACTAAAATTCTAAAAAAACAATTTATATAAATATTGTATCACAAATATATAATAAATTGATTAAATAACTAATAAATATATATATATATATATATATATATATATATATATATATATATATATATATATATACTAATAAATGAAAATCTTTTTGTCACATGTCATATTTTCATTCATTTTGACACATGTAATTTTATGGTTAATTCTTAGAAATTAATTTACACTTATCATTTTGTGATAATTTTTTATTTTCTTAAATAATAACTATCTAATTTTTAGGTTATAGAAAGTAATTAATGTGTCATTAATTTGTTTCCTTATATTTTCACATTTTAATATGTTTCCTTCAATATATATAATTCAAAATTGACATAATTCAAAATTGACATGTATTTTTGTTAAAGTTCATTGTCATTTTAGGCAAAATGGTCTATATAAAAAAAATAATCAAACTTTGTTACTTTTTAATTTTTATTGACAAACTAAAAAAAAGGTTAAATGGTCAAAATATAATTATTTTTCCGGTTTATTAATATAAATTGAATTATTTATTTATTCATCATTTTTTTATATTTTAAAATTTTATTTTAAAAAATACTTAATTTTTACACTTTGATATTTAATGTTTTCTTTAAAAAATATTAATTTTTATATCTTCATATATAATTTTTTTAATCAACACGTGTACTACACGGGTTTCACACATTTATATTATATTATATATAATATATATATATATATATATATATATATATATAGATATATATATATTATATATCATTATTATTATTAATATATACAAAAACCCCATTGCTTGAGAACCCTCCATTTAAAATGAGTGGATGTTTAGAGATTGACATGTGGGTAGCCTCCATATTAGCAAAAAGATCTAGCTGATGTCACATGTTGGCTAAGTGGTGGTACACATCAGCCGAATATCTTGACTATAAGGCTCAGGGGAGTGGTAACACTTCTAACACATTGTCACGTCAGATTTTGGAGTGCCACCTCTTTTTTTGGCAATTTAGCATCTAATCTTAACATTTGGTAGGGAGTGGTGACACTCC